CATCACCATCACCATCACCATCACCATCACCATCACCACCACCATCATCACCATCACCATCACCATCACCATCACCATCACCATCACTACCATTACCATTACCATTACCATCACTACCATTACCATTACCATCACCATCACTACCACCATCACCACCTCCATCACCATCACTACCACCATCACCACCATTACCATCACCACCATCACCATCATCATCATGCTGTTAATTCATGGGAAGAAAATGAGACTAAGCAAGAGGCCCACACAGAGCAGGTGGGATTCGAGCTCAGGTGCTCTGACTGCAGTGTCACCGTTAAGTCACGTTGCCGCCTGTGAAACACAGTGGTTAGATTTAATGAGCTCTGGGAACTTGCTCCTCAAGGTGTGATCTCTGGACCAGCAGCACCGGCGTCACCTGGGGCTCCTTAGAACTGCTGGGCCGCAAGCCCTGCCTCAGACCTGCTGAATCTGTGTTTAACAAGTGCCCAGATGATTTGTGAGGCAGACTGAAATCTGAGAAGTCTTACCCTAAAGTTCATTCTTCTCGGATGAACTGTGAACTCAACCTTTGCCTGGTAAAGGGTCCTGCCTCCCTTCCTTCCTTCCCTCCCAGAATTATCTCCTTGTCTGACAGCCGGGGTGGAGTGCTTCTCAGACTACATGACCCTGCAGATCCCAAGCAGCCACGTGCAGGGCTTGAGGCGGTGGCTGGGCAGAATCCTGCACTTGCCAGGTAAGGGGCTGGGCAGGGCCGTGGCTGGGGAAGAGACCCCGCACGTGCCTCACCCAGGGCTTTGGCGCTGCCTTTCTCYGCCTGGAACCTTCCTCTCCTTTTGCTGTCACTCAAATCAGCTGAAATGCCCCTCCCCAGGGCCTCCCTGTCTCTGAAGCAGCCCCCTCCCCTGCTATTGCCATCTTTGTGCTCAGCTCTAGAACCATCCTCCGCATTGCTCACGTGCCCCTTGCGGGGGCCCCCAGCAGAAGGAGGTGCAGCTCACTCGCCCCTTCTGAGTAGCTGCAGCTTCAGGAGAGTGGGAGCTGCCTGTGCTGGGGACACCTGCAAGATGGATGAACAAACAGCCCCAAACTGGGAAGAAGTGCCCACCCTATGCTCCAAGACCCACACTGCCCCGGAAAAGAAAAGGATGTGATTCTAGCAGGGCAGTTCTTACCCACTGGAAGCCGTCTCCTCCTTGGTGGGCGAGTAGTGCACCTAAAGTAGCCAAAACCAAAGGCAAGGCATTACTTTCAGAGACAATTGTGCCATGAGCTTGCCAACAGAAAAAATGGGAATGGGGGTGAGGACCATAAGGAGATTACCTGGGACCTTCTGGAAACTTCTGGAAGGAACAAGAATAGAGAGATGTGCCAATAGCCCATTTCCTGCTGTGTTTTCCATCTCAGGGGCGGAAAAGTGAGTCCTCAGAATCCTCCTCTCTTTTGCACAAAAAGGGAGCCATTGAGGAGAGGGGCTTTCCCATCACTCCCAGAATTTAGGGAAAACTCCTAGGGGCCCTGTTCATTCCAGAAATTCTTCAAACACCCTGTGGAACTGGTGTGGCCTAAATCTGTCCTGGGAGGGTTGGCTGCCCGATGGCCACCAGCCCACGAGTCTTGGGAGCGGCATTTGGTATTAAAAGGCCACTTTTCCAGGAGAAATGCTGTGGATACATTAAGCTGTCGCCTGTTCTTTGGAGAGCCATTATTAATGGAAAACAATAGATTAATAGTTTTAAAACGCTTGTTCAATAAGTAATTTTTATGGCTCTGGATAGAGCCCATTAAACATTTCTGTGTGTTATTATAAAGAAGTTTTAAGCGTAAAATCATAAAGTCAATAGTCAGAGAATTAGTCACAGCGGCCAGCCACAGGCCATTAGTTTTAGGCGCTGTCAGAGACACCTGTGGCTTTCTGCGGAGAGTTTTTATTTCCAGCGGCAGCCCAGCAGCGCCAGGTGGGATGCAGAAATGACGGTGCCTGCTGCCTTCCATAAACTTGAGGGGACAGCAGGCAGGTGTGATCAGCGGGACGCCAGGCAAATATTTACAAAGTGCAAACGTGAACGCAAAACTAAAGCATCCAGGTCAATTTGCACATCCAGGCGGAGACACTTTATTTCCCCAGCGATCTGCCTTCCAGAGCCTCCCTCCGCCTGCTCAGGGCCTGGATCTCTTGCTAAAGATAGCGGTGGAAGCTGCGCTTTTAAAAGGAGAGAATCACCAGAGAGGTTCCCCGCACAAAGGGCTGTTCTCCCCAAGGTGCTCTCCTCTCCCCGACGGCTCCGCTGAGTCGAGGACCTTTTAAAACACCAGGACAAAAGCGGTAGGATTATGGAAACTAGAGGAAATCCAAGGAAGAGGATAGAACCCTCATTCCTCTACCCAAAGAGATCCACGCCCCACCCCACCCCCCCTTTTTTTTTTTTTTGCTATGGAGCTGGCATTTGAGTGGAGGGCCATGAGCAGTCACTGTGATCCCAAGCCGTTTAGACAGTAGGTGAGGAGATGATAAGTGGCGCAGACAGGAGGCAGGAAGTAGAACAGGCTGGTTAAAGGGTCAGGGTGAGCTTCACTGAGAAGGTGACTTTTGCACAGACTTGAAGGAGGTAAAGTGAGCTGTGCAGACCTTTAGAAGAGTTCCAGGCAGAGGGCACKGCTGTGCAAAGGCCCTGAGGCAGGAGTGTGCCTGGGATGCTTGAGAAACCACRGGGAGACGGGAGACGTGGCAGGAACAGAGGGAGGGAGTTGCACAGAAGTGAGAGAAGAGGTCAGAGAGGTCAGGGGCACCTCACATGGGGCTCCTGGCTGAAAAATGGAGAGGTCTGACAGTCTGCTGGCGGCTGTAAGGAGTAGAGCAGGGGGTGAGGGAGGACGCCAGGAGGCAGCTGCACTCCCCAGACTGGGCCCAGGGGTGGGAGACCGGCCAAGTCTGGATATTTTGAGGGTGGCACCATGCTTTCCTGTTGGTGTTCACCTTCCCTGGACCTCGGTCCTGCATTCTGTCCTCTCCAGGTAACGTGCTTCCGGCAGAACAGCCCTCTGGTCCTGTCTGGTGTCCATGCCCCTCACCTTCCAGAGAAGCGGGCTCCACCCACACCCACCCACACCCATGTTCCTTTCTCTCCGCAGGCAGCTGGAGGACCCCTGAGCGCCAGGATTCTCTTTTGGTTAAATGCGGCTACTCTCTGCACCCCGCTTCTGGTGGCGACTTTGTTTTCCGAGCTCAGTACTCCGCCTGCTCCGTGCGGAAGGAGGTGGGTTTGGGCCAGATCTGTTTGTTTACTTATTTTTGCAGGGCTGCCCAGGAGGGAAGCCAGCAGCCCCCCAGGCTAGGCAAGGGCTGGGCCACTGAGCCGCACCCCAGCCTTCAGGGAGACTTGGTGACGTCCCTTGGGAAGAGGCACCATTCTGGGAGACAAGAGGAACTAAACCTGAGCCCCGATGTCCAGGAAGGGGACCCTGTGGCATCTTTCCTCTGTAGAAACAGACTGAGGGAGAGCAGGAGGCTCAGGCCTCGGTGGAGCTGCTGATGGAAAGATGGAGAGGTCTGAGCAGAGGGGGCCATCACAGTTTTGAACAGGAGCCTGCTGGGGGCTGTCAGGAGTAGAGCAGAGGGTGAGGGAGGGCGCCAGGAGGCAGGCAGCTGCGCTCCCCAGACTGGTGTGTGGCATAGACGGCAACCACCACGGCTGCCTCCACCCAGGTTAGAAGTCGCCTCCCAGGCAGCGTCCCACGGTCCCTCCTCTGTGCTTCTGTCATTGAACTGCCACCCTGACAACAACACCCTGCTCACACAGACCAGGCTGGACTCTCTGAGGGGAGGGGAGCCACTCCCCCAGTGCTTGCCTCAGGTCCTGGCACAGTAGGCACTCAATAAGTGCTTAAAGATGTGAACACACGGTGCTGAGGCGTTGCAGAGGCTGGTGGGCCAGGCTCACTTGCACAGGCCCTGAAGGTGCTCACAAGACCGTGGGATTCTGTCAGTTTTGCAAAAAGTAAGGCGTCTTTGTATTCATTTCTGTATTTGTCCCCTGCCCCCCTCCTCCTCCATGTGCAGGAGCTTTGGGCCCCCAGGAGGCTCAGATGGGGCGGCGGTAGGAGCTGGAGTGCGGGTGGGAGGATCGACTACAGGCTGGAGGGTGAGGGATGACCTGATGGCGGCAGATGGCCGGGAGTGGGGGTGCRGCACCCCAGTCACTGAACTCCTCCCTGCCCCCCACCCCGTTCCCATGGGTGCAGACCGCCCTGGGACCCTCCTATCTTTCCTTTCCTCTTCTCCTCCCCCATGTCCTCTGTCTGTCTTCCTCCCTTGCTGGCCAAGCCCAGGGATMTTCCCAAGGGACTGAGGTCCCCCGCAGGGGAGGACTTCAGGAAAGGCCTTACCACTCCTCTTCCTGCTATGTCCCTGACCGCACCCCAACACATGCCACCTCAGGCCCCTGCAGAGCTCAGAGGTGGCTTCTTCCTAAGGCTGGTGGGGGTCAGCCTGGCACCCCGGGGGGCCCACTGTGGAGCTCTGTGAGCTCCCCCTTGCACACAGAGAGTGCGGAGCAAGGGCACCAGATCTTGTGTCCAGCTGCGGGGATGGCCCCCTGCCTTTCCCTTGGTCACTCTCCTCCACTGAGCCTCAGTGACCTCGYCTGTAAGATGGGAATGAGAAAGTCCCTTGTGAGACATGGGGAGGGTCAAGGGAGCCAGGGTACGAGCAGGTGTCTGTCCCTGGGAAGACACATGTAGGTGTAGACCCCTGTCTGTCTGACCAAGGGGACTTCATGACACCCACGGCCATCCCCAGCCCCAAGGGCTTCCTGGTCGGGCTGTGCCACTGCTGGGGCCGGGACACTGGACCCAGGTTCCCAGTCCCTGGTGGCCTTGGTCTTGCTTCTGTCCCATTTCCCTGAGACCCCTCAGCTTCCAGGCAGCTAGGTTCATGTTAGCCATGTTCGCTGTGAGCGGCCCCTGATCTGGGCTCGTGGCCTATTAACTCTGTTTTCTTCTTTCATTTGAACATGCGCATTCGCCCCACTTCCAGAAAGCAAATTACTGGTTGGAAATCAGACTATTTCAAAAAGGGGTGAAAGGGTCGAAGTGGAGTGACGGCTGCATAATGAAGTGTCCAGTGGTCGTGTCAGGGCTGAGCCAACAGAGCRTCCACTGCGGCCCCACGTTTATTCAGGTAATGGGTTTAGAGAGCCTGGGAGGGGACCATCACAGGCTGGGCTGCTCTCCAAGGCCCAGTCAGAGGGCCGTGGCTCCTGAGCCTCAGGACAGACTGGGCAGCAGTGGCAGCTGGAGATGCAGAGTGGCATCGTCCTCAGAGATGTGCGCAGGTCCTGGCTGGGTGCTGGATCCACTGGGCTTTTGTCTGAGCAATAAGGAATGAGATGGGATGAGAGCGCGGGGAGGGTGTTAACCGTCTCTGAATGGGCTTTCTCAGTTTCCCATTGACGCTGGCATGAGGGAGCCAAATCAGCAAAAGTATGTTGTGTCTTACTGTCTGTATTGAGAGAAGGTGCTGGAAAGATGCTCCTTTTCTCCGCCCCCCCCCCCCCCCCGCCTTTGAGTTCTGGGGATTGAACCCAGGACTTTTGCACATGCTAGGAAAATACTCTATCACTGAATCATATCTCCAGCCCCTTTTAGTTTGAGTCAGGATCTCACTAAGTTGCCGAGGCTGGCCTCAGCCTCCCAGGTTTCTGGGATTACAGGCAGGTGCCACTGCACCCAGTTTAGAATACTCCTTTTTAACCTGGGTCATATCAGGGAATTTTAGACCTCAGGGCTGGACTGTAGCTCAGTGGTAGAGTTTACTTAACTTGCATGAGGACTGGTTCAATCCCCAGCACTGGAGGGCGGGTTCTCTTTTAGGTGTAATGCCTCCATTTGAAAGATCAGGGAATGGTGCTTGTCCTAAGAGCTGTGAGCAACTTCACTGCCTGTGCGTTTCTTGAAGTCGGGTTTCTCTCTAGCCCTGGGAGACTTGGGTGGGAGGCAAAGAGTTGCAAACACAAGTCCACAGGGGCCAAACCAGCAGCAGAAGTATGTGCTGAACTGGGGGGCGGGGGGGGGGTCGGTCAGGACTTGAGCTCGCCTTTCGTTTACCCAGCAGACACTTCCACACCCCTCTCCCTGCCAGCATCAGCCCCTCTCACCTGCAGTAGCTTCCTAGGTGGTGTGCTGATGTGAGGACTGAGCGGAGATTACACTTGCCTGAGGTCCTGCAGCTGGTAAGTGGCCGAGCTGTGCTCCCAACTGGGCAGTGCAGTGGGGGCCATGGCAAGCTGCAGCAAGCACAGCAGCCTCCAACCCTGGCCCCCGCAAGGAGCAGCCGACACAACTCCTGGCTCATCGGCCAGAGTTTCCATATATATATATATATATATCTATCTCAATACCCCCATCCCCCAAAATAGAAAGAAAAGAAAAAAACTGTTGGTTTGGGGTTTGGGGTGTAGCTTGGTGGTAGAGCAGTTGCTTTTTACATGGGTTTGATCCCCAGCACTGAAAACCAAATTGCCTTTAACTTTATAAATAATGTGCAGTCCAAACAAAATGCTGATTTTGGCCTTAGGGTATCAGGAAGGAAGGCGGAGAGGAAGAGGGAAGGGAGGAAAGAGAAAGGAAGAAGTGAGAGGAGAAGGTTGGTGTGAAAAGCTGCTAAAAACAACCATTATTCAATAAGTGTTTATTAATCACCCACTATATGCTGGACACTGCACTGGTGCTAAAGGAGCAGATTTGAATAGTACCTAGACGCCTCAGGAAGCATACACTTTTAATCTCATCGGGTCTGGTTTTTAAAGCAAGGGTGCTGTGCCTGGAATAGCCCAGGGAACTATGGCTCAGAAGAGCTGAGCCCTGGATTTTTTTTTTTTTTTTTTGTACCGGGGATTGAACCCAGGGTGCTGTGCCTGGAATAGCCCAGGGAACTATGGCTCAGAAGAGCTGAGCCCTGGATTTTTTTTTTTTTTTTTTGTACCGGGGATTGAACCCAGGGTGCTTGGCCACTGAGCCACATCCCCAGTCTTTTTTTTACATATATATTTTATTTAAAGACAGGGTCTCACTGAGTTGCTTAGGGCCTCACTAAGTTGCTGAGACTAGCTTTGAACGTGGGATCCTCCTGCCTCAGCCTCTTGAGCTGCTGGGCTTACAAGCATGTGCCATTGCACCTGGCTCACCTGCATTTATTTTTTTTTTAAGTTCATTCTTTTTAAATTTTTTTCTTGGTTGTAGTTGGACACAATATCTTTATTTTATTTATTTATTTTTATGTGGTGCTGAGGATGGAACCCAGCGCCTTGCACGTGCTAGGAGGGCGCTCTACCGCTGAGCCACAACCCCAGCCCTCACCTGCAYTTTTAAAAAAAGACATTGCTTAGTTGTCAATTGACCTTTACTTTATTTGTAAGCCATGCTGAGAATTGAATCCAGTGCCTCACACGTGCTAGGCAAGCGCTCTACCACTTTTGCCACCACCGGAGCACTTTTAATGGCTCCTYGTGGCCACCCCAAGCCTCCTGTGGTGCTCCTAAGAATCACAAAGCCTCCTTCTGGGAGCTCTAGGCTTTGCCGCGGGGCACCAGTTTGACTGACATTCTGGGGATGGTCACTCCTTCCTGTGCACTGGGCCTGTAATTTTGGGAGCTGCCGCCAGGGGGACGGTGTTGCCGGTGTCACAGACACTGGGCGGAATTGCAGAGAAGCGCAGGAGCTCCTCGCGGTCCGGCGCCTACAGAGTCTCTAAGAACCTGCGGCTGAAGCCCAGAGGCCCCAGCGAGGTGTGGGAGCCTGCATGTCCCCACCTCCCTGCAGAGTGGCAGAGAAGCGGACGCATACCAGAGACGGAAGACGGGTCTTCTCTGCTTCAGCCCCCCTCCCCGCTACCCCTCCGCCATCCGAGAACCTCATCGAATTGACTGATTCATTCCTGGTGACTTCTGCAGCCGCCGCTTCCGTGGCTGCACCTTGAACTTGCATTAAGTTTTAATTAAAGCCGTTTCACCGGCCTTGCCCTTGGCTAAATGCAGCTGTGGGCACAGGGCACATAGATATTTAATACTTTGCCTCTCCCCGCTGATGGCGCAGGGTGCCCAAGGGTGTACCCGAGCCGTGCCCTGCTCGCAGCGATCCGCCAGCTCGCTTAAGTGTGCCCACAGGCCCCGAGCGGGAGGCCGCGCAATAACTATTCATTGCCCTGGGTTAAGTGTGCCCAGGGGCACCCGTAAACTCAATGCAGTGATTAGCGATTGCTCCCAGTGAAGGCTGCCCGAGGTCCCGCGGAATGTCCGCGGGCCCTAAATATAGCCTGTGCGCGGCAACTTAAAGGGCACGGTGCGTTTTGCCTGTGATCGCATCTCCCCTTCCTTCTTTTAGCAGAACTATTGCCTCTTTCTTCAAGCCCGGCCTCCAGGGGTGCGCTGCCTTCCTGCAGGGCGCAGTAGAGGGAAGGCAGGGGGACCTGGGCCAGCTTTGGTGGTTAACCCGGAAATGCCAAATCCTCCAACCCTCTCATCCAGCCGCAGCCTCTTCCCCATCCATCTCCTCCGCTCTCCAAGAGAAGCGGGCACCTCCAAGGACAAGGAAATTGCAGGGTCCACCCAAGGGGTTCCCTGTGGGCCGCCCTGAGCCTGTTGGCTGAGCCGGGTGGATGCTCTCCGGTCCAGGGGGCAGCTGAGCTGGGGCACTATAAGTGGCTGGGGGTCTCCTCTGGCTACTCCTTTCTGCCCCTGGGACCCCCTTCTCTGTCCCTGTGGGGAGTTGTGGTGGCCAATCAGTCCTCTTTGCCCTCAGTGTCCCCAGCTTGTAGAGGTGGGGGGAGGGGCTCAAATGATCTGCTGGTCTGTAACTTTCTCCTGGTCGCAGACCTCCCTGCCCGGGTCTGCTGCAGAGGCAAGGGGAGCTTTGGAGAATGTAGAAAGAGGAGGTGACAGCTGGGTGGAGGCCATGTTTTGCAGCAGGGGTCGGGTAGACCCTCTGCCCACACATCACTTTGGTCCTCACCTGGGAGAGGGGAGAGTGATGTCACTGTAGAGATGGCTGCAAGGCACCACATGAGACCAACTTTCCCAGTTTGCCTGGGCCTGTTCTGGTTTAACACTGCAAGTCCCACACTGGGGGACACTCAGTCCCAGGAGACCTGGTGTGGTGCCATTGGTGAGGACTGACCACTCTGGCCCTAGAAGCACTCTATCTACCTTTGCTTATTGGATCCCACCTGGAAAGCAACAGGGTCAGGACACAGTAGGTGAACTCTGGAGTGGGAGGAGGTGGGACGACCTGGCGGGGGCCCTGAGGACAGCCCTGCAGGAGAGCTGGCTCTGAACAGCAGTGTCTGGACGGGCACAGCCACTCTGGGCCTCTCTGGGCCTCGCCAGCTGCGCCCAGCGCCCCAGCTGCCCCCCTGGCTCAGCCTCGGGCAGCAGCTGAGGCTGCAACATTTCCCTGGGTCTGTTGACACTCGAGTCCCAGAACATAAATGATTTTCTTGTCTTAATGAGCAAACAGCCTCCCGCCTGGCTCTCTTGCTGGCCTCCTGCTGGGGTAATCGCCAGTGCTCTGAGCGGGGGAGGACAGTTGGCTTGCTCCCCTTAGCTAGCCACTTGCCAGGAGGTGTTGCTTCCTCTCTCTTCTTCAGGTCTCCCGGCCCTTGCCTCTGAGGAGCAACAGTGGACAGGTAGGTGAGGTCTTCTGGAAGGTTCTTCCAGGCCCTGGGCTCAGGGATGCTCTAAGCATGGTCCTGTGAGAGTCCCCGTGGGCATCACCCACCCTTCTGGGCCTGGGTCTTGGAAGCAGGAACTCTAAGCTTCCTCTGGTGCCCTCCAGGCAGAGGCCGGAGGCATCTGAGAGGAAACTGGAGGAGGGGACCCAGCTCAGGGTGGGAGGCTGGGTTGGAGGCCTCTGGGGTCCTTCCCTGCTGAGGTTCTCTCTGCAGTTTCCAGGGGAGGAGGTAGTGCCTTAGCAAGACCCTGGGTTTCTGCACCACACCTCGCCTTCTGCTGGTCCCAGGGGTTTCTACAGCCTCTCAGGCGGGGCCAGGGCCCTTCTCCATCCACTTCACATCCCTTTGAAAATTCGGAGAACACGCGTGCCCTGCCTGGAGTCCTCCCCCAATTACCCATTCTCCTCAACCTCTAGCGACTGTGTCTCCCTGGTCAGATGGTTTGTGAGTGTGTCCTGTTCCTCCAGACCCCCTGGCTGCTGTCTCTTCGAGGGGAGTTGGTGGCTTCCCTGGAGGATGCCAACTTGATGGGATTGTATGTGGACATCAATGCCACCTCAGTCACCGTCCAAAGCCCCAGACAAGACGTTCTTCAGAGGCAGGAGGTCAGTGGTGGGCAACAGGCCCTGCCGGGCCCTACTAGGGTGGGGGCCTCAGCAGCGTGGCACCCAGATGAGCACTTTGCCACTCCTCCGGTGCCAATTCAAATGTCCACCTGCGAGACTGGACAGATTTAGGCAGGCAGCTTTGAAAATTGGGCCCCATTAGTGTAAAGTGCTCGACTCGGCAGATGAGGGGCTCCTGCAATCATGTATTCAGTGCGTCCTGATCATGGTGGCAGGAGTGTAATTACCATCTCTTTAAATAGCCCAAAGTTGCCGTGTAAGAGAAGACGGCTCACATGACATTTGCTCCAAGCTCGCTTCCTGCTAAAAATATCCCGGCTAAATAATATTTCCTGGTTGCAATGGAGCAATGGTCCCTGACCTGGGCTCTGTAACTCCTGGGGGCTTAGTCCAAGACTAGTTGGAAGGTGGGGGTATGGAGAGAGTTGGCCTCTGGAAGGAGGTGTTTTAGAGGCCACAGGGAGGACCCTTCTATCTCCCCAGGTGCTGAACACCTCCTTGGAGGTACTGCCACTCTGGCTGGTGAGCGGTCACTATGCCTACTCCTTAGAGGCCGCTTGCCCAGTGGGTAAGACTCAGGAGCACCCTGGAGGCCCACCTCTCTGACTCCGCTTCTATCCCCCAACACACCTCATTTCCCTGTCTCCCACTCTACCTCCTCTCTTCTTAGTCCCAACCTTGGCCACGCACTTCTGAAATGCTTGGGACAAAGAGAAGTTTGCTCTTGCTGGAAGGCGTGGGTATGCAAGCCACCAACTCACCTCAAAAAGGAGGCAGCCAGGGGGTCTGGAGGAACAGGACACACTCACAAACCATCTGACCAGGGAGACACAGTCGCTAGAGATTGAGGAGAATGGGTAGTTGGGGGAACTCTGGGGAAGAGGACAGGGCCAGGGGTAGATGAGCTGGTACAGGGGACGGGATGGGGGCCACTTGGCATCCTACAACCCAGACCCTGCACCCACAGGCTTTGCAGGTCCCTTGCAAGGAAGCGTGGCATGCAGTAGGCACGATGTGGGGGGGAAGCGCTGGCTCCCCTGACGGCCATGCCAGCCAGAGGGTCCGCATGCCGCCCAGGTCAGGAACCTGGGGTCCTGTCCTGGGTCCTGGTTGCCATCCTTTAGTGGGACATTGGCTATCGAGGTCTGGAACAAAGGTGGGTTCTTGATGGTGGGAGAGGGTCCCTCAACCCCCATTCTAGAGCCAGAAGGAGGCATTGAGGAGGACTCCGGTCTGGGTGGCACATGGTGTGGACGAAGTAGAATGTCTTCCGAAGGTGGCCAACTGAGGTCTGGGAGCTCCCAGGAGCCTCCCACGATGGGCTCCAGGGGCCCTGAGAACAAGATGGGAGAGGTCTGCAGCCTTCATCAGATTCCTCGGGGTCTTGATTCAGTGGCAGTGGGAGCCTGATCTAGACCTAGCGCAGGAGAACAATTTTGTTCAGCTTGGGCTGCCGCCCTTAGGGAGTGCCTTATGTGATGCAAAGAGGCCAGGAGGCGGAGGACCACTTCTCACCTCCCGGGAGCTTAAATTCTGAAGAAGTCCACATGCAAAGGCAGGTGGATCAAAGGCTTCATCACTGACTAGGTCTCAGGCTCCGGGCTCTGGGGCATTCTGGGCTTTGGGGATGGCCTTGCCAGGCTCTCAATCATCGCCGTCCACTGCTCTGTGATATTGAAATCCCTTTATTTGGAGACAAATGCTTTCATTTAGCTACTGCCGAGACAGCTTAACATGGACCCGTGAGAGAGCTGACGCGAGGAGTGTAAACGACTGATGTGAGCCGTGCGTCCTAAGAGCAGCTTGGATGCTGGAAGGCCCTCCCGGCTGGGTCCCCGAAGCTGAAGGCGGAGATATTCCGGCAGCTTCCTAGAGGCAGCCCTGTTCCTAGAGTCCTTTCTCATGGGTCTTCTCCAATGACTTGAGTCCCCTGGGGGTTTGGGGAACACTGTCACCAACCCCAGTGGTGTGCAGTGCTGGCCACTGGCATGGCCCCTGGCTACTGTCCTTGAGGGAAGGCATTTGACTCCAGAGCCAGGGAGCCTGGGACCTGTGTGCCCACCCTCACGCCCATGGGCTTGCCTGTGTCCTTCCTGTCCCAGTTTCATCCCAGCCAGAGACAGACGTCTCCGTCCACATCCCCAAGCAGAGGCTGGGTCTGGTCAAGAGAGGTTCCCGCATCGAGGACAGCCTGAACCTGAAACTCCTCCGTGTCCACCAGTCTGACACCTTCACGGTGACTGAGAGCAGGGATTTCGTGATGGTCAGCATCCCGGCGGCCACGCTGCTCCAAGTCCAGGTCAGTGACGCCCCTTCTGAGACCCTTCTTTGAGCTACTGACACCATGAGGAGTCAGAAACCTGGAGAGCAGATCTGTGGGTGCAGCGTGGAAAGGACTTCACCACTTAGCCTCCCCCCACCCCCAGGGCCAGCACCCTTGCTGAGGTGGCCATGTGGGAGGAGAGCCAGAGGACACTGACTGTACCCCTGTCACATGCCCTAATTCCTCCTGGTCCCACAGCCATGCCAGCAGGCCCGAGGAGCCCCAGGGACACAAGCTTTCTATAAGGTGGACCTGAACCTGGAATTTGCCGAGGTGACTGCCCCGGTCCTCTGGACGGTGGAGAACGTCTTCCAGTGCACGGGTGAGTGAGGGACAGTAGCCAGGGGCCATGCCAGTGTGCCTGCTGSTGACAGACACTGACCACATGCGTCCTCTTCCCCCAGCCCCATTCTGCTTTTCCTGTGACAGTTTCAGCCCTGGGCTGCAGAGGTCAGCTGGCTGGAACTGGCATGAGGACAGGAGTGGTGTGGGGATAAGTGGTCACCAGGTCCCTGGCTCTGGAGTCCATCTGGGATGGGGGGTGGAGGAGGCAGGGGCAGGGGCCCATCAACTTCCCAAACAGAACCTCAGTGAGTTACTTAATCCCGTTCAGCCCCAGTTTTCTCACCTGGAGAACGGGAACACAGGCGCCTGTCGGGAGGTGGCTTGGCTCACCAGACTGCCCCACACAGGACGAGCCATCGCCCTTGGATCTATTCAGCAAGCTCTGTGTGGATTCCCGTTCCTCGGGTCACTTAGCAGATCAGGCTCCTTGGCAAACAGCCATACGCGTCGCCAGCTCATTTCTTAACCCGAGGAGACCTCCCTCTAAACCTGGTGTGTGTGCTCAACACCGGGACACTGTGTCTTGAAAGGGGTTTTCGGTGAAAGCCCAGCTACCAGACAACCTGGTATTCACACATGCAAAACCACCAGGAGCAAAACCCATTCAAATACAGCATAAGGAAATACACATAATTCACAAATGATGTCGATCACTTTCATCTTAAACTTCCTAACTGTCCTCAATAGAAGACAGACGCGAAGGAGATTTAATTCAGATGTTAATAGCGCAAGAATGCCCGTTACCAGGATATGATGTTTCGGTGCTGCATAAAAATGTAATTATATTCAGAACTATATTTAAAGATTAAAAGGGGGACTGCCTACCACATCTAGCCCCAAATTCAGAATTAGAAACAAAGAAAAAGGCAGGATGGGGGGGGTGGGGGTGGGCGAGTTCTAACCGTCTGCTAAAAATGGAAATATTTCTTGAAAGTTTTTACACATTTCGGCTGTTTTTATTTGAATGGTTTCCTGCAGCGGTGACATTGATTTTGGAAAGGGAGAGCTAGAACTTTCGCCAATAAGTATTCACTAAGCATTTGCCACATGAGGCTCAGGCCTCAGAGGCCAGATTGGGTCCTCGTTGTCCATCAGTGTCCAGACTGGAAGGGGAGATAAGAAATGTCCAGGGATTCCAATGGAGGGCAGGTGGACTCCGGGGGAGACGCCAAGGATGAGATGATTTTTATCCTGGGCTTTGAAGAGCAAGTGGGGGAGATAATGAAGAAAATTCAAAATTCAAAAATAGCAATAGCAATAAAAACATTTTAAGAAAAGTTTTGGGCCTCCCTGGAAAGATTTACAMGGGGAAAGAATGTTCTCTCTCTCGTTTTATTAATTTAAAATCAGCAGTCGGAATGAATCTCCCCGCTCCCCGGTTCCCAGAGCACCTTCCCTGTACCTCCCCTGAAGCTTCTAGGCCTTTCTGTTCTTATTATAGTTCGCGGTGCATGCYCCTGTCTCTCCCTCTCGTCGGAATGCCTGGAGATCAAGGACTCTGTCTTATGCAGTTTTTATTCTTTACAACCTTTATTGTACCTCTTTGCCCTTGATAAGCACTTGATAAGTGATGCTTGGACTGAATTTTCACTAGGACTTTTTACAAAATGTTTTAGACAAAGAACATTTTTTTTTCCCTTTTGTAAATATGTGACTAATGAGTGGATAGCCTAAGCGCTCTGTGGTTACAGAGTTCTTTTTTATCTCCCTCCTGCCCCCCCCCCCCCCCCCCCCCCCCCCSCCCCCCCCCCCCCAAGCGGTTAGAACCTATAGGATGCATCCTAATTGCTTCAGATGGCGGCTGTTAGAAACAGAGGGAGGAATGGAGAAGAGCTTCAGCCCAGAAGAAAGACCTGGGGAGGGGGCCGCTTACCTCTAGTTGCATTCACAGTTTTAAAAACGGTCCGGATGGAAGTGCCTCTAGGCGGAGGCAGGCATGTAAATGGGTGAAGACACCCAGGGCCCAGGTGGGGAGTGATAAGGTGGCAAGGTCAAGTACAGAGCTCTTGGGGAGTGGTGGGAGCTCCTGAGAACTGGCAGCTGCCAGACCTGGCCTGGCTTGCCGGAGCTCCTGCCTGGCTTGTGGGCTTCTGTTTGGTGCCAAGGCAGGCCAGAGTGGCCCAGCCTTCTGATTTCCCGTGAGAAACTGGTTACCTACAACTTGTTCTCAAGTATTGTCAGTTAATTTAAAAAATATTTTAAAATCCCTGCCGTCGAGAGCAAACCTGTCCAAGGGCTCCGGGGCTGCTATTTGTAGGCTGTAACCCAGGTGTTCTCACAGCGGGTAGTTTTGGCCTCTCAGGGGACAGKGAGCAATGTCCAGACATTTATGTTTGTCACAAGGCAGAGGATGCTACAGGCATTGAATGGGCAGAGGCCAGGGGTGACGCCCTTCCCACACACAACAAAGAAAGATCTAACCCCAGACATCAGTGGTGTCCAGCCTGAGGGTGGCAGGGCAGGGAGAGCTGCCCAGTTCTATTTGGTCCCTGGGGTGGGACTGATGTATTGGACCTCAAAGTAGGAAATGGCTCAAAGATGAAACGGGCTTGTGGCGTTCCAGCTGGGGCAGTGAGTCGGGACCAGATGGTCTTTGCAGAAACCTAAATTTCTGGGTTTTAAGTGTAAAAATGTGTCTTGAGGCCCATGCAGCCTCTCCAGCTCGGAGGTCTGGGAAACTCAGCAGAAGACCCTCCTAACTCAGGCTTGAGCTGACCTCCCAAGCTTTTGCTCCTCCACCCCTGGGAAAGGGGTTGCTCCTGGTCCTACAGCAGGGTTTCAGGGGGATTCTGCCTCCTTAGGAGGAAGGCTGACCTCTGCCTCCTTTCTGGAAGGTTCTGGAACAGAGTTGCCTGCCTCAACAGCTCCGCCGAGGTCTCCTCCATCTTCCCCATCCCCAGGACTGGACACTCCTCCAGCAAGAGTGCTGTCGGCTGCCTCCTCCCCGTTCCAGGGTACGGGACCTGCTGCCCAGGAGCAGCCTTTGCAGGGGCCTGTGCGCTGGTCTTCTGGAGAGCTGACCAAGGTGAGTCCACGGCTGTGTCCTCTGCCACAACTTCCTCCTGAGGCTTTGTCTCCTTGAGACCTTGGTGAGCCCTGCTGGGCTTGAGGTCTCTCTTTCCCTGCGGTTCTTCCAAGGAGTGGCCCACTCTGACCTCTAGCTGTGTCGAGTCAAACTCAGAAAGTTACCCAGAGAAGCCAGGGTCCCTGGGAGCTCCCTCCATGGGGAGACTCCTGTGTCTCCTGCCTGGCTCAGCTCCCTTTGCCTTGAGACATGGCAAAAGGTGGTGGCCGGTAGGATCAGCAGCTGTGCCCACAAGTGAGGGGAGGGAAACTGAGGCACCCCCCAAAGGCCTTGGGGTGGGAGCCCTGGAGCCAGGCCTGGAAAGCCAGCCCGAGGTCACTGCTCCCACAGGGCCTTCTCTGGGTGAACCCACGGGCGGCCAGGGCCACTTGGTTTTGTTTCTCCTGCTTAGGAGGACCCTGGACTGATCCTGCGCACAGCCAGACCTGCGGGAGGAGGCTGGGCGTCCACCATCTCGCCTCTCCCCAGAGCAAGGCCAGGTCAGCATGGCCCCCAAGTTCCGCTCGGGGGGAGCCTAGTCACCTCTTCCGACTTCAGCCACCGTCTCCTCAGGGCCCAGGGGGCTGTCCCGGCTGTCCCGGGGCCCTCAGGCCCAGTCTTCCCAGCTCTCACATGACTTTGTCCTCAGCAGTCTCTCCTCGATGGCCTCCTGGGAGGTCCAACCCCCCCAAAGTGTCCCTGGGCTCCGAACAATCTGTCACTGAAGATCCAGGACCTACGAGGCCTAAGCAGGACCCCACGCAGCCATTGGGAAGTCCCCTCCTGCTAGGAGGGGATGTGGCTTCACCAGAGCCCCTCCCGGGGGGGCCTCCCCAGGCCAGCAGAGCGCTCCAGCCTTTGACGAGGCACTTGGAGGCCAGGCTGGCCCAAGGGACCCTCAAGGAAAGGTCCTCTGTAACAGGGTCCAAAGAACCACCCCGGAGTGGCCGTGGCCTCTCCCAGGAGGGGGCCGGAGGGAACCTGGGCCCATTATCCCCAGAACCAAGTCAGGACATGGAGGGGCAGGGACCAAGAGAGCAGCAGACAGCCACCAGGGACCCTCTGGGGGCCTCAGAACCTGAGTCCTCTAAGGGGCACGAAGTGGACCCAACAGCCCCGCTGGCAGCTCTTGGGGAGAGTCCTCTGGCCTCTTCCTCTGAGGAGCCTGCAGTGAGGGCCCCAGACCTGGAGTCAACCTCCAAGTGGCCCGTGAGCTGGCATGGGTCGGGGGCTGCACACACGCCCAGCCCTTCGCCTCTGCAAACCCTGAGCCCTCGGGCTCCTGCGGAGACCACGTCACCCCCCACGCTTGAGCCTGGAAAGCCTTCCTCCGCCAATCCGGGGGCCTCGCTGCAGCGGGAGCCGACAGAGCCCACACTGGCCACCAGCCCTGAGAGTCACGGGACTCCTGGACTCCGGCACGTGGGGAGGGCTCTCTGAGAGCCCCGGGAGGGCCTCCTTGGAGATGCTAGGGGTGAGTCTTGGGAGGCCCCAAGAAGGGGGTGCAGCGGGGTGTGAGGTCTGCTTGGTCCTCCCAGGGGGAAGGGCAGCTGAGTGCAGGACAAGGCCCTGGGCCTCCCCTGGGCTCTCCTGGCCCAAACCCGTTTCTATGCTTGCTCTTGCAGTTAAAGGGGTGCGACATTGAGGCCAGGTGCAGGCTCCCCGGCTAGGCCTGCTGGAGTCCATTGTCTCTACTCCGGCTGTGTGACCTTGGCTAGGCACCAGCCTCTCTGAGCCTCACTTTGGGATCAGTCAAATTGGGAAGGTTCTAGATCTCCCCTGATGGAGCTGTTGAGGGATGATGAGGAACTGACCTAAGACTGGAATGCAGAGCCCTGCGCACAGTGTGGCCTCAGAACCCCAGCACCCTCTGTGCTGTCTCCCAGGCCCAGGAAGGCAAGGGAGGGCTTCAGCCATAGTCAGACATCTGTGTTGGGGCACGGTTCCGTGGCAGGTGACCCCCTCCAGGGGCCTCAAAGGGACCCGACCCCAGCTGTGGGCAGGACCCCATGAGGGGAAGTGGGGATGGCCCTGCTCTGCTCTCTCAATGCTCCCTGGCTCCGGTTTCCTGGTGCCATGCTGGTGTGGACAGCCCCATGACCTCTGATGACCCAGTGCCCTCCGGCTGCCTGCCCAGAAGCCCCGCTGTGGCCGGAACCACACTCGGTGCTTCCCTGGAAGGGTGGAGCCCCCTCCCGCTAGGGCCGACCCAGGGCTGGAAGTGGGATTTGAATCGCGGCCAAGGAGAGGAGCCATTGGCGACGCCCTCCCGGAACGAGGACTAAATAAATAAATAAATAAATAAATAATCAGGGTTGTCTCGGCTGATAAACGGTCCCTACCTCGAGGACGACTTCTCCCTGCGCTCCCCCTCCCCCGGGCAGACCCATCCCAGGCAAAAGCTTAATAGCCCCATTTAAGGCTTTTCCTTTTCACCACGGAATTGAGCCGCTCTTGCCATTACGAGGTTTTCAGCTTCTCTCTGAAATCAAATTACTGACTCCATTTAATTTTTTAAAAGCTCAGATGATTTCCCTTCTTGAATCTGAGCCGTGACTCCAAGGCCAGGCCTCCAGCCCCACCCCCACCCTGCCAGGCAAGTCCCCTGCAGGCAGCGGGTGCCCGGGATGGGGCTCCCACACAGGGCAAGCCTGACACCCAGAGGGAAGCCAGCAGGAGAGGCCCAGGCCTCCGGACACCCCTGGATGCCTGGCTGTGTGGCCGGCCTCCCTGGGGCCTGCATCAGCTCACAGGAGCCTGGGTTTCTGGGGTCAGCAAGCCTGCAGGCGCTCGGGGGCCAGTGGTTAGAGCCCAAGGGGAAGCAGGGGCGCGTGTTGGTGGCTCCCCGTTGCCCTCCACGGTGCGTGCCCGGGACCCCATCTCTCAACACATGTTTCCAGAGCAGCTCCTCTGCCAGGCGCCTTTCCAGCTGTGGGGAGGGAATGTTGTCCGACAGGGAATGTTCTAGTGTGTGCGTGCGGGGGACTGGAGACCAGCGATAAATACATGTGGACAGTTCCAGATAATGCTGAGTGCTCCGGAGAGAACCAGGCGGGCGGCTGCTTGGGTGGGAAGGTCAGAGCGGCCCCCGGGAGGAGGTAAGGAGGCAACCTCAGAAGAGCCGGGGCGGGCATCCGGGCAGCGCCAGGGCCTGGAGGAGGAGGGACAGAAAGAGAGCCAGCAAAGCAGAGCGCTGGGGGACAGGAGCACGGGTTTCGTGCTGGCCCCGGGTGGCAGTTTAACAGGGTGGGGACTTTGGGCAGAGCAGCAGCCTTGGGAGGACGCTTTGCAGAGCCAGCTGTGGCTGGAGAGTGGCAGCAGAGGGACAAGAGCAGCAGCAGGGGGGCTGGGGAGTGGGGCTGGTTCAGGGCCCACCTGCCCCAGTGGAAGGGAAGGTGACTCACGGCCCCCTCTTTACGCTCTGAGCCTCTCACTCCTGCGTCCTGATGACGTCAGGGAGGGCTGCTCTGCACGCTGGGGCAGATGCGTCTTCCACCTGAACCTTGGCCCTGTCTCTTGTCTCCTCCTCCACCCACCCCTTGCCCATCCCCGCAGGGCCACCACCTTTGGGGCATTATCAAGCAGCGGTGCATGCACACAAGGAAGTCTTGTAAAGCACGGCCGGTCCTTCCCATAGTCCTCCCTGTGTTCGACCACGCTGAGTCTCCGTAACGGGAGTGGAGTTCATGAAATCACCGGCTCTTCCTGGCCTTACCAGGGCGGTGATGTGCGAGGCGGGGAAGGTCTCTTCCTTCCCTTTGCTTGGCTCTGTGCCTCTCAGAAGTGGGACAGTCATGTTTAATTAGAAAGTGCTCTGGGGAGGGCTCCTGATCTTCCCCACAATGGGACAACCCCACCTCTGTGACTCGGGCGGCACCTGTGCCCCATTCCCGGGCTGTGCAGCCATGTGCACAGATGTTGTCTCTGCCTTGGGGGTGTCCAGTTTCCTCTCGAGCCCTCCCAGGATGCTGCTGTGAACAGTGCAAGCCCGCAGTGCTGCTCTCTCTCTGCTTTAGCAGCCGCTAGGTGGGATCTCAGGCAGCCTGGGCTGTCCCGGGTGATTGGACTCCACCCTCAGCCGCTGGGAGACAAGGATGCGTCCAGTGATCTGCCCTGCTAGGTTTAGTACCTCCAGAGCACCAAGCCTGCTTTCATTCCTCAGGACATCAGGTTCACTGTTTTTTCTTTGTCGAAGGACTGAATCCCCTGATTTTAGATGTTTCCCACGAYAGACTTCACATCACAGCGTACCCTTTCAGCCTCAGCTGGAAGTCTCTGTTGGGTATTTGAATCTTACTTAAACTGGAATTGTAGTTATCAACTCAGTAATTCTCCAAATTACTGTGTAACCAGAGAGGCGGCATGGAGGGAAGAGCTTCTTGCGGGTGTCAGGAGACCAGACCCGCCTCGCCCATGCCAAGTGACCTTGAGCAAGTGGGTTCACTTTCTGAGCTTGGATTCAGCCTCAGGATGCTTGGAAACAGGATGGCCAGGGACCAGGACCTAGGATATGTGGCATCACCCCTTGGGGATAGCCTGAAGCCTCACTGCGACTCAGGGAGGACACCTCGCTCCTAAGGAACCATCATCCCTCCCCAGTCCAGCCTTTCCCACCTCCCCACGCCTCTGCTCCTCGTGGGTCTTGTCCCTGGGGCTAGGGGCTTCCAGAGACACCAGACCAGGGCAGTGGAGAGGACGACATGGGACAGTAGTGTGGACATAAGCCAGGAGGAATCCACCCCTGCTTTGCTCCTCTGTCCTCTGTCCTCTTCCTGGTTCCTCTCCCATGGTGTAGGCTGGGCCGTCCTACAGCTCAGATCTTAAAGCCCCAACAATAGTAGTCCTCATAGTGGAGACCCCCCACCCCAACCAGACCAGCGGCCTTAGCAGCCCCTGAGAACTTGTTAGAAATGCAAACTCTTGAGCTGGGGATGGAGCTCAGTCATGGAGTGCTTGCCTGGTGTTCTGGGGGTGGTCACTTCAAAAATGCAAATTCTTGGGCCCCAATCCAGTCCAGAAACTCAGGGGAAGGGACCTGGTGATCTGCACTTTAATAAGCCCTTCAGGGGCTTCTGAGGCAGCATTGCAGAAAGCTAAGACTCTCTGCCTGGGAAAGTGTGATGAGCACCCGCCTCCCCCCCAAGTCAGAGAAGTCCCCTGTGTTCATGTGAAGGCAGTGCTTGGCATTCATTCAGCTTCCAAGGAATCGCCACGCGATGTGTCCATTGCATCTAGCATGATTCCATTGAGGAAGAAAGGAATTGCTCTTCCCATTTTACAGATGAGAAGGCTGAGGCTCAGGGCCTTGCCCAGGTCACACAGCTCAAACCCTGGCCTTCTCATTCTAAGGTGAGGGATCTCTCCCAGACACCCAAGGTTTTAGGTCAAAGGCATAAATGAACACTGGCCAGAAGGGAAATCCCCCTCCCAGCTCTCTGTTCTCTCCCTGGTTTCTGGTTGTAATCATAGGAAAGAGCATCCTGGAATAATCAATCTTGCCTGGCAGTTGAGTAAGAGCTCTGAAAGGAGTTACACGTCAGGGAGATGGGACTTTATTTCTCAATGAAATAGTCTTTTTATGGCTGGAATAAAAGTGCCAGGGGGAGCCTAATGCCAGGAAGTAGCAAGCACATTTGATAAACTCCTTCAGCCAGGGCGGGGCCGCTTGGGAGGTGACGGCCAGCCACAACCCCTGCATTTTCACATGCATGGTTCTCTGCAGGTTAGAGCCATGGAAGATCCTGGGGTCCTCAATTAGGGTCACCCAGCTGTGAAAGGACCTACAGCCTGTCGGTGCCAATTCTTTCACTGGGCCAACAGGTCCTAGGAGCAGAGCTGCAGTGCAAAGAGTGGGCAGCAGGGGGCAGCATAACACATAGTTCCAGCCTGTCCAGTGGGCACTGTTGGGGGGCTTTGGAGTGGGGGTCTCTGGGGTGCAACCCTCAGAGAATCTCATCAGTAAGGCCTTCCCTAGGACCTTTTCTTCCTCTCTTCAGCCCTTCCCATCCCCAACCCCTGCACGGCAGGGGACAGTCTGCCATCTTTATAGTCTAGTGGCAGCCTCTGCCCAATCCAAACCATAATGCGGATGGGGAATGAGGGGCTGGGGGCTTCTCTATCCTTGGCCGCCCTCTGGCCATTTTCTCAAGTTACTCCAGCCTTTGCTTCAGACCTGATTAAAAACTTGGCTTCCTCTTGAGGGGCCTCTTGAGGGGTCTCGGGGAGCATGATGTGTGTGGGGGTGGTTTTTTTGGGTGGGGGGCCACAGCCTTCGTGGCCACTGGGGGCAGGAGAAAATCCTGAAGGACAAAGAGAAAGCGAGGAAACCTCCTCATTTGAGGATGTGCGTGATTGGCAGGTTTACGGCCTCGGGAAGGTGCGTGGTATTCTGCACAATCAAGTCATTTTTAAAAATAATCTCCTGCTTAAGTCGTACACGCTGCTAATTGCATTTTAATAAGTCTCTTAAAATCTTGCCATATTTTTTAATATCCTAATATTAGGTAAGTGATTGCAGGGGACACTGGAGGGCATGGCGAGTTTATATAACGGAGGGAGGGCTGTAATGAAGCTGGGGGTGGGGGTGGCCACCAAGTGGCCGGTGGCGTGTGTGTGTATGTGTGTGTGTGTATGTCTGTCCGTGTTTGTGGGACGCGTGTGGGATGTGGGGGTGTGATGTGTGTCCATGTGGCCGTGTGCATGGGGTGTGTGTTCACGGACAGGGCCTCCCGTGTCCACTGCCCTGGACAGTGGTCCACAGGATCCTCCTCCTCAGTCATAGCAGCAAGCGCCACTTAACACTTCCCAGGTCTTCTGGCTGTGACTTCTCTTGGCTCCCCTGGCCCCAAACTGGAGCATCTGAGCCAGAGGGTTCTCTGATGCAGCCCGTCCTCTCTTCCCTTCCCAAGAACCAAGGTCCTGAGCCTGGACAGGGGTGGTGACTTGGGCAAAGACACGGAGCAAGATGGATCCCTGGGGAGAGCTCAGACCGAAGTCTTGAGAGGGCAGAGAAAGGGCTACCTTCCTCTTCCTCTTTCTCCAGCTTGGATGCTGGCTTCAGTGTCCCTGTCTTACACATGTGGGGCAGATGGTGGCAGCTGCCACTCACTGAGCCCCATCAGGTGCTTTGCGGGTGCTTCCCCCAGGCACCTCGTGGAGCGGGTGTTTAGGGTCCTGGCGGGGGACCCACCGTTGGGAAGTGGCCACGCTGGGATTTGAACCCCAGGCTGCTGAGCTGGCTGGGGAGGCTCTGAGCCACAGGGAGCTGGGGGCTCCAGGAGCTTCCCATCTCTCCAGCATCCAG